AGCCAACTCATCGAGCGTGCAGGGCAGAGCTGACACTGCAGGAGGGGTGGATTCCCCGTGCTCCAGGCACAGCATGATGGTGATTTTGGAGATGAAACCCCTTGACAATGGCTAAACAAACAAATCAGCAACGTTTCCCATGCTAACCAGTGTTTCCCAGTGCTTCTTTCACCAGATACTGGCACTCAGATGCTGCCACTTCTTCTCTTTCCCCTTCAGATCTGCCGTCACAGCTCAAAATCAGAGGGCTAAAGGTGCTTTTCCTTCCAGCCCTCATCCCCCATGGCCTCTGGCAGCAGGGCAGTCAGCCCGTGCTACTTTCATGAGGATTTGGGCTGCAGCACCTAATTTTCCACTGCTGGTTGTACATCCAGACTGAGAGCTGATCCATGAGGAGGATTATACCTTAAGGCTGGAAAATGAGCAGTGCATGCCCCACCCCAAAATGATGCTGGAAAAATGCAGTGTAGTAGAGTTAGATTGGGGTATTCCAGGCCTGGGATTGTCGTTTCCTCTGATGTCTTTAGTGCAGGAGATCTGTGTCCTCCTCTCCCAGCCCCAGGCAGGACAGACCCTCGTGAATCGCTGCTGCTCTCATGGTGAATTCAGACCTGAGGTCAGCCCTGAACCCCAGGCTGGGCACAGGAGCATAAATCCAAGTTTTGTATTTGGGGAGAGCGACTTCTTACACAGGCAGATAGTGATAGGACAAGGGGGAGAGGTTTAAAATCAAAGGAGGGGAGATTAGATTGGAAAATAGGAAGAAATTCCTGGCTGTGAGGGTGGGGAGGCCCTGGCACAGGTTGCCCAGAGAAGCTATGGCTGCTCCATCCCTGGAAGTGTCCAAGGCCAGGTTGGATGGGGCTTGGAGCAACCTGGGACAGTGGAAAGGAGTTGGAATGAGATGGGCTTTGAGGTCCCTTCCAACCCAAGCCATTCTGGGATTCTGTGATTTTAAACATCTGCCCCATCCACTTTGGAAATACAGACCCACAGAGGTTTATAATGTTTACTTTTTATTTTTAATTTTCTTATATTTCTTTTTTTTTTCCCCTTTTTTTTATATATTTACTTTTGTCAGGGCTTTTTGTGCAGCTCCACTTCACCACCCAAGGTAAGGAAATCATTAGCATCCCAGTGGCCAATTCCCACACTCTGTGTTTAGGAACAAATGGAAGGGATGTTGTGTTTAATTATCTCAGCCTGCTTACCATGATATTTTCGCTAATATTTGGGTTTAATGAGCTAGGAAATCTGGGCCATTGTGTGCTGGTGGATATACTCATCCTTTCTCCAGCTAAATATGTTATCAGATCGCTTTGACGGGGATGAGCAACGGCTTCCTTTGAACTCGGGAATCGTCAAGATTCACTAATTTGCTTAGACCACCTGCTTGGCTAATGTTACCACAGGCCTCTTGTTTTCTCTCTGAAATGGTAAACAGAATTGCAGAGGATGCCTAAATGTTGCTGTTCCAACCCTGGAGGAGAGGAGGCTGAGGGGAGACCTCATGGAGGGTGCAGCTCCCTCCCAAGGGGAAGCAGAGGGGCAGCACCGATCTCTGCTCTCTGTGACCGGTGACAGGACCTGAGGGAACCACTGGAGCTGTGCCAGGGGAGGTTTAAGCTGGATATTAGGAAAAGGTTCTTCCCCCAGAGGGTGGTTGGCACTGAACAGGCTCCCCAGGGCAGTGGGCACAGCCCCAAGGCTGCCAGAGCTCCAGGAGTGTTTGGACAAGGCTCTGAGGGACAGGGTGGGATTGTTGGGGTGTCCTGTGCAGGGCCAGGAGTTGGAAGTGATGGTCCTTATGGGTCCTTTCCAACACAGGATATTCTGTGATTCCATGACCCACCCTGGTACAACATCAGCTCTGCCCCAGCCATCAAACAGCCTCCACTTTTTACCCCAAAACTTGCAGCCCTGCAGGAATGCTCCAGCTGGATCCACGAAGATCCAGAGGTCCCCCAGGAATTACCATATAAAACAGAGTTATCCCACTTCCCAACTCCCTCTGCCCTGTGTTTGTGCACGGGGTGTCTCTGCTCCCAGGACATGGGATCTGCACATTGGATGCTCCATCCACAGGGAAGAGAGCTGGCCATGGGGGTGTTGGTGAGTCCTCCCACTGCAGTCAGGAAAGGAGATTTTCTTCCAGCCAGGAAGGAGGATCTTCCCATCACACTGATCTGCACACACCCTGCAAAGCAAGGAATGCAGCAAGGAATTTCTTCCACGGGTCACGGATCTATTTTTTAATTACCATAGAAACCTTCCAAACATCCCGGCGTGTGCTGTGACGTCAGGGTCTCCACTCCTCCACATCTGCTTCCCGGGGACACTCCGGGGAGTAGGAACCGTGTGCTCCTGAGTGGTAGGGGATTATTTTGGGGTTAATTAGCAGGCAGGCTCTGGGTGTCTCCTGGAGCACGGCACAGACTCTGGCTTTGGTCTTTTACTCTTGTTCATTCACTGCTTGCTGTTGTGGGGGGACCCATCTCTCGACGGCCTTCCCAGCCTTGCAGAGGGATGTGTTTGATGCTTCATCCCTAAATATCCTTCTGATCGCTTCCCTTGCCACTTCAGACGTGCAAAATGCAAAACCTGGGAGGCGTTTTTTGGCGAAGCCAGCCTGGCAACCCTTAAATTAGCAGCGTTGGAGCGCGTGGAGCTCTGCCTGGAGCCCCTCGTGCCGATGATGCCGGCGGTGGAAGGAGCCTCCCTCCTCATTCCCGTACGGAGGGTGTATCCTCGTGGCTCCATGGGCCATCCCACAGCACACCCGGGCAGCAGGAGGACTGTCAGCACTTAGGTGAGGGGAAAGGAGCTCTTTGATGGAGCATTTGTTAGGATGGAGCCGTAGGATGAGACAGATGGCCGGGGTTTGTTGGCAGGGAACTCCGCTCCTGTTTGTTTAATTAGTCACCAGACAGACTGAGAGCTAAAGGCAAACTCAGAGCTGGGGTGAGATGGACCATTTATGCTTGATGATCCTGCTTGGTGATCCTGCTCGTCATCCCGCTGTGGGATTGATGCTCCAGCACACGGGGATCAGGTGTTCCCGGTGGATTTGGGCGGCCTTTGTCTCCCCGCTAAGATTTTTCCCCCAAAAGGGACAGGTTCAGACAGATGGGTTGCTTTTAAAGCCAAAGGGAGCACAAACACCGAGTTTTCCTTTCTCCAGCACCCACCAGAGCACAGAGCCACTTTGGGGAAACAAATTCCTAAAGGAGCTCCAAGAGAGCTGGAGAAGGAATTCGGACAAGGGCGTGGAGGAGCAGGACAAGAGGGAATGGCTTCGAACTGCCAGATATTCCCCACAAACCATTTTTATTCCAAATAAAAAGCCCACAGATAAAAGCACCTCACACCTTTATTTATGCTTTGTAAAGCATTCGATTCCACTCAGCATTTTGCTGTGTTCTTCCAAACACAGGGATTTCTCTTTCCCCGTTTTCCTTCTTGGAATGTACCTGTAACACTCATCCCTTCTAATGAGATGGGAATAAATGAAAAAATGAAAAAAAAAAAAAAAGGAACAGTTAAAAAACAAATAAATGGAAATAAATGAGAAATGGGAAAGGGAAATAAAGTCTACGTGGGGAAATGGATAACCCCAAGCACAAATCCCGTCCTTCTCTGCACATGCAGCGCTTGGACGTGTCTGTTTCAAACGTATACTTAAAAAAACGCCGCCAAAAAAAAAAAAATAAATTGAAATTTCAAATACAATCGTTTTAGAATTTGCCATTTTTGCCCGGTGCCACATTTCACCAGAGCCCAAAGCTGCGGGTTTCCCCACAGACACCCAAAAACATCCCCCCCTGCCATTACCCCGCAGCCCCGCTAGAGGGAGGTTTCCTCCAGCGGGAAATCCGCAGGCCGTGGAGCGGGGCGGAGGGTGCGTTGTGCGGGAGGGAGGCCCTAGCGTGTTTTCCAGCGTTCCCCGTGCCGGAGGGAGCACCCAAAATTCCGGGGGGGGAGTGGCGGGAACGCGAGGAGGGATGGGGAGGGTGGGAGGTGGGACGGGAATGAGGGACGCGCGTGTGTGCCCCACCCCAGCCCCTGCGCGAGGCTGGCCCTGCCCACCCCGCATGACGTCACCCGTATGCAAATGAGCGGCATGAGGGGAGCGGGGGCCCGGCGCGCGGCCGGGCTCAGTCTCGCGCCGCGGAGCGCGCGCGCTCGCGCCACCCACCCCCTTCGTTCTCCCACTTCTTCCCTTTTCCCGCCTCCTTCCCTCGCTTCCCCCCACCCCACCCCACCCTCCCCTCCCACCCCCTTCGTCCCACGGACATGGCACGGCCACCCCAGAACGCCGCGCCGCCCCCTCCTCCCCCGATCCCCGGGGCCGGCATGAGTCAGGTGAGTGTGTTTTTATGGAGTGTGTACGGGGTGAGGGGAGGGGGGGAAGTTTTGTGTGTGTGTGTCTGTGTGGTGTGGGGTTGTGCTGCAGTGAGGGGGGTGTCGGGTGTTTCCCCCCCACGCCCCCAATCCCAGAGGGCGGTGGCGGTGGACGCCGAGGGATCGCGGGGAGGGTGTGGGAAGGCGCGGGTGAGGAGTGGGAGGGAGGCAGCGGGGCTGCGGGCGAGCCTTCCTCCCCACCCTCCTCCTCCTCCTCGTCCCCCCCACAGCCCCTCTGACGCCCCCTCCTCTCTCTGTTCCAGGTGTGAAGCCGCCACCGGCAGGAGGTCGCTCCCCCCTCCCGCCCCCTCGCAGGGGGCAGCCCTGACGCTGGGGTTTTCCTTTTTTTGGGCTTTTTAAAAAAATTTTTTTTTTTTAAAATTTTTTTTTTTTTTTTTTTTTTTTTTTTTGGCCCCACCACCTCCCTCCCTCCCTCCTTCCTTCCCTCCCTCGCTCCCTCCCTCCAGGAATCCAGCGCTGCACCGAAGCCAGAAGAGAGGGAGCAAAAAAAACCCCAGCCCAGGCCGAGAGCCGCGTCCGAAACCAAACCCACCCTTCGCGCGTCGCAGAGGAGATTCTTCTTTTTTCTTCTTTTTTTCCCTTTTTATTTTTAATCGCCGTTATTTCTATTATTATTATTATTATTATTTTTATTTTTATTTTTATTTTGAACAGCCCTGCCCCGAGCACGGTGGCGGCGGCGGCGCCGGGGGCAGGGAGGCTGTCCCGGTTATTTATTCTCTCCCCGCAGAGCTGTCCCTCCGGCTCACCATGATGTTCCGAGACCAGGTCGGCGTGTTGGCCGGGTGGTTCAAGGGCTGGAACGAGTGCGAGCAGACTGTTGCGCTGCTCTCCCTGCTCAAACGCGTCAGCCGGACCCAGGCTCGCTTCCTCCAGCTCTGCCTCGAGCATTCCCTGGCAGACTGCACCGAGCTCCACATCCTCGAAGGGGAGGCCAACAACCCCGGTGAGTGGCGTTTCGCCGCGACCCTCCCCGAGCCGTGTTCTTAACGCCGTCAAAATGTATTTAAAAAAAAAAAAAAAAAATTGTTAAAAATAGCACCCAGGAAACGAGCGCGGTGTGGGAGAGGGGGGCTCCCCGGCTCGATTGCGGGAACAGCTTCTCTCCTCTCCTCTCCTCCTCACGTTTTATTTTCCAAACGGGGTTTGGCTTGTTTCAGTTTGGTTTTTCACAGCAAACTACTCCGCTCCATGGCGTGGTGTAACTACGGTAGCATGAATGATTGGTGGGTTGTTTTTTTTTTTTTTTTCCCCTCTCCCCCCCGCGTTCCCCCCCCTTCCTCCTTCCATGCAGTTTCCTGTGAAATAAGTAAGTCAGGTCACGTAGAGTCTGGATTTTCTAGGCTTCTTTTGGACAACGTGGCTTGATTTGCTCTCTGCAACATGCAAAAGCAGCCCATCGCTACCTCAGACGAACTGTTGTTGTATAAAGGTCTGGGTAACTGGGTTGTCCTATTTTTTTTATATTTATTAATTTTTATTCTTTTTTTTTTTAAATGTGGCAATTCCTATTTCATCATTCAGATCCTGTTTGGACGCTTTTTTTTTTTTTCTTTCCTGAAGCTCTGAATACCCCCTTGTGTTTCAGCAGAGCTCTAAGAAAATACGAGTGGGCTGTTTTATGTTACTGAGGGTGCAGGACAGAAAATGTGCGTGGCTGCGGAAAGTGTATTTCGCTTTTATTTATTCACCATTACAAGTTGCTCAACTCCTGGGAAGTAAACGGAGTTGGAGCAGGGTGGAAATGGCAAAAGCGTCGGGCGAATCGTGCCGTGTTTATTTATGGGGGGGTGGTGGTGGTGTTACAGTTGTGTGTGTTCCTAAGGGGGGGATGTAAACAGGCATGCAAGTCGCTTAAAGTAGAGTTTTTGAAACAGGGAGGCTGAGCGGGGAAGGCAAAACGTCTTTTAGTTGCGTAGTTCTGTTCCTCCAAGCCCTCCAAAAAAAAAAAAAAATCCCAAAATCGAAAAGAAAACCCAACACCCCCCCCAAAAAAAAAAAAAATAGAAAAGCAACACCCTCAGTTGCAAAGCATCCCTTTGGTTTAAACCCCTCGGGGGAGTGGGGGATTGGGATTTGGGGTTTGGGCTGTGCACGGCGGTGCCGGGGAGCAGCCGCGTTCCGTGATGGGTGGAAATCTTGCGGCCGGATCCCGAACAGAGCCCCCGGTGTGGACGGGGCGGGAGGAATGCAGGGTCCTTCTCCAGCTGTTCCCTATTAGAGCACCGAGCCGGCAGGGTTTGGCAGCTGCCTGTGCTGCCATTTGATGACAGGGTCCAGCGCAGCGCCGTGTTCCACCGAAGGAGGACGGATTTAAGTCCTCCTGCAGGAAACCGAGCCCGGGGCTGCTCCGGCGCAGAGGGATCGGGGCTGGCTACGGGCGAGCCAGGCTGGAATTGGCCGTTCCCTTATATAGCTTGTAGGAATTAGAGGGAGGAATGCTGCGTCTGGGCGCAATACTGCTGCTTTTATAAACAGCTGAAGGGATGAACCTCGTCCATCCCTTTGGGTGGGGAGGCCCCGGGGGGCGGTGGGGGGGTCCTGGCGGGAACAAGCTCTCCCAGCTGGGCTGCTCCGGGATACATTTGCAGCCTTAGCACAGCCTTGCTGTGATTCCCTCTGCAACTCGGCGTGAACCATATATTTTTAATTCGGTGTTTTTATCAGCACTGCAGTTTTTCATTCATACCGTGGCTTTGGTGGTGGCCCAGTTCCCTCGCTGGGTCAGGGGACTGGAGGGGGCAGATTTGCATCCTGACCTCAGGAAAGGCGGGTTCTGAAGGAGAGCAGGGTTTTGGAGTGTTCCCCGACGCAGAGTCACGTAGGGCCGCCTGTGTGGTGGCGTCTCCTCGGGGTAAGCCAGGGTGCAGACCAGGGGTTGGGCCGTTCCCATCTCCGCTCGTGCGAGCGATCCCTGCTTGCCCCTGTAATCCCGCTGACCTTGCCTGGCGCGAGGGTTTCTCCTGCGCGTGGAGCTTGGCATCCCGCCTGCTGCCCGTCCCTCGGTGCGTCGGTGGAGCTGACTGAGCTCTCCCCGAGGTTCCTTCCAAAAATGAGCTGCTCCTCCAGGGCGTTTGTAACTCCCAGTGCCAAAACCTGGATCTGTTGGGTGCCTCTGTCTCACCAAACACCTGCCCCCTTAGGCTTTCCCATGGGATGGACGTATCCATGCATCCTGTGGAGCAGGACGTGCGCTCTTCCAGGCAATCCTGTTGCAGTGGAGGGAAGGTTAGCTGAGATTTGCAAGCAAGATCTGTTAAGAAATGGTTTTATAGGCTCCAGTGTTAGCGCTGCCTTCTTCGTGAAGCCACCTGTATTCCTTAAATCGCTCCTGTTCCGTGCCTGTTTTGCCGTCTGGCGCTTGTCACTTGCCTGGCAGTGGAGTCACACCAAGTCCCGAGCGGCAGCGTCATCATCCAGCCTTGTGCTACTCGTTACTCTTTGAGTCCTGGTGTTTGCATAACTAATTTGGGCTCGATTCCCTCCCAGGCTGGGGCCTGAGGTAGCTCCTGGTGCGTTTTCCTGGTGTTTTTTTGGCTTGGAAATGGTGGCTCCCTGCTTGTAGGTGCCCCACCGGTGTCCATGTTGATGTTGGGGACGTGGTGGTGCTGGTGCACGAGGGACTGTGGGGTGATGAGGATTGCACGGCCCTAATGGGCTGTAGGAGTTGGCTGTAAGGTGTGGGATGTTCCTGTTCCATGGGGCACAGGTGAAATCCGTTGTCTGGGAAGGGATGTCACTGTGACTTCAGCAGTGCTGGGCTGATGTGCCGGAGCAAGTGTTGGAATTACATCGGGTCCTCGTGGGAAGTGAGTTATTTTGCACATGCAAGACCTGCTGCTTGTCCCAACCCTGTGGGGAGGTGGGGAAACTGGAATGTTACTCCTGGTTTATGGTCATTCAGAGGAGGTGGCAGTCCTGCTGTTTTGATGTGTGGGGGATGAACACCATCCTTGGCAATATCATCACCAACAGTGTTGATCCCAAAGAGAGAGCAGAGCTGGCTGGTGGAGCTGGGGTTCATGAGCTTTCAGGTGTGTGGAGCAGGCACAGAGGAAAACTCCTCTCAGTGAAGGTGTCCAGCTTGTTTCTTGCCTGGTGACAGGTCTACCCTATGGCAGATGAGGTGGGAAAACCTCAAGGAAGAAAAAAATTACTCTTTTTAACTAGTTAATTGCCATGGAGAAGCAGTTTGAAGCAGTTCTATTTTGTTTTTTTTCTCCAAGTGTGAAGGTGTTTTCACAATCACAGCCAAGCTCTCCTTGTTAGGACTGCAAACCCAACGTGGCTCTGCTGTGTACGACCCTCAGAAAGCCCTGAGGAGCCTCCTGCTTCCGTGGTTCTTTGGATAACTGCTCAAGCATGGATATAACCACGTTGCCCACCTCAGATGGGAGGTGTCTGCAAGACACCCTGCAGAGAACTCCACCGGTGTGTGGGAGCAGAGCAATGTGGTGACTGCATGTGCTGTGGGGGCTGCCCAGGGGGCTGGCTGTGAGACCACCTGCAGTCTGTGGTCTTCTTAAAATTTCAAGGCGTTGCTTGATTATAAAAGGAAAACAGAAGTGGGAAGCCAACATGGAAGGAAATGTGTATGTTTTTTCACTGGAGAAGTGCACATCTTGGGGTTGTCCTGCGTGGAGGCCTCCAAAAGCTTTAATGGTTCAGCTGGTGAAGAATGTGGGTCGTTGCTAATTCAGTTTGGCCTGCTGGGCATGGGGGGGGAGAATATGGAAACCATATTATCTGTGCACAGGAATAGAAGTTTCAGGTATTGCACAGCACTATTTAAAAGCCTGCTATAACTTCCTTCCTTCCTTCCAGCCTGGCCTTGCTGGGCAGCCTCGGCCCCAGCTGCTCGGAGCCGTCAGGACGCGGCGACCTCCTCGGAGCCGCCGGTAAAGGTCAGGCAGGAGCGTTCTGTGCCTTGTGGGAGAGGGACCTGTGCTCTTCCTGAGGCACTGAGATGTGCTTGGGGTGGGCTACAGACCCAGTGAGGAGATAGGGAAGGCTGGATCCATGAAAAGTGGGTCTGTAGGCTTTGGGCGTGGAATGCACGATGTGCTTCTGCTTTCGTCTTGTTGACTGTCCCCTCTCTGATGGCCAGAGGTGTGACTGGGTTTTTTTTTTCTGAAGTAGTCCCACATCCTATCCCTGTACCTGCCTTCCTCACTCCTGTGCTCTCTGCTGGTGAACAGAGGTGCCCAAAGGCTCCTGAGGGCTCTCCAGGCGTCCAAACACCCACCTGGCACCAAAGGAAGAGCGGCAGCTTTAAACTCCTGGCCTTGAAGGACAACGAGCTTTCCCTGCCCTGTGCACAGGACATTAACTGCTCCTCCACATGTTAGGGCCAAAAATCTTTATTTCACTTCAGCAGCCTGTCAGGTATCACAATGGGAGCATCGGGATGAGCTGGATTCCTCATCCTGGGAAGGAAGGACTGGCCGGAGGAAGAGCCGAGGTTTGCAGGGAGCCGTAATGTCTTTTAATAGACTGACTGATGCAGCTGGAAAAAATGGCCAGGCACGAAGGTGCACCAGCTCAAAGGAGGGCCTGTGTGGCTGTGGAAGCTTTTTTTCCCCAGCTGTACCATCTGGTCTATTAAAAGGTATTACATGTTCCTGCAGACCTTGCTTCTTGTATCCTTAGGTCCCTGTGGCTCCAGCCCTACAGCTGTTGCTGCTGCCCTGGCCACAGACAGTCTCCCAGCCCATCAGGAAGCTGCTACCCCTCCACCTTGCAAATTTTGCAGTTGGCCCCCAGTGACCCCCTCACACACTTCTTTTAATCTCTGCTGGTGCTTGAGCTGCTGCCAGGTTTGGTTTGCAAACCTGGGGGCTAAAACCTGTTTGTGCTGGGCTTTTTGGAGAGAAGCAAGAGGAGGGAGGGGTACAGAGGTACAGAGCAGTGTTAACCAGCACTGCATACCTGGTATTCTCTTGTAATTCAGAGATACTTTAGTTTTTAAGGATACTTTTCAGGGTGGCTGTGGGAAGCACCACAAGCCAATGCTTGACTCGTGCCAGTCCCTGGCTGGAAGTAGGTCTGTGGCATGGCATGACAAAGGCTTCCCTTTGCTGTCCCTGATGCTGGGACCTAGAGGAGACTCTTCTGGGCTTGCACTTCATTCTTTGGTATTTTCTCTTATTTGCTTAAAAACTCCTTCCCTCGTGGTTCCTGGCACGTGT